CATGTACAAATGGATGAATTACCATATGTGTCTTTGGAAGGAAGTTAAGGACTGTACAGGGGTAATCTTTTTCTGCTCTTTTCTCTCTTTTTAACTGGAGAGAGGATACAACATTCTTTTTTAGCATTGAGGGTGAAGTTTCATCTCTGACTTCATAAATTTAAACTGAAATGACTGGGAAGATCAGATATCCCATGGCATCTAAATGTTGTTTCTATGGACTCCTATTCGAGAGTGTAGAAAAGAACCAGATTTTGATACTGAAGTCTGACAGTGATAAAATGAGTGATGTAACATAGTGCATTTCTTTCTCCCTTTTATCTTTACGTATCTCACTTTGGATAGATCTTTAAGCCTTTTCAATATAACATCATAGGGACATTGGATGAACATATGCATCTGCTTCTTCCTGCACTTATTCGATTGTTTAAGATGGATGCATCAGTAGATATAAGGCGTGCTTCTATCAAAACTCTGACAAGGTTGATCCCTCGTGTACAGGTTAATAGCCAATCTACTCTCAGTTCAACTTACAAGATAGAATTTCTTTGTCCCTAGGTCCTATTTGCTCAAATTGCTGCTATTATGTTTACGGTTTCCATTCATCCTTTTCTCCTTTCAGGTTACTGGTCACATCTCTGCCCTTGTGCATCACTTGAAGCTAGTCTTGGATGGGTTAGTCTACACTTACATTGATTTTAAACTACGTAATTGTTATTCAAGAAAAAAAATTATGTAATTGAAGATCTGGCTTTCTTTTGGATATGCATGTTTAAGAGAGAACTGTGGTATATCTTTGATATAATTTGTTAGATACACGAATTAGAATTCAAGTTAATATTCCAAGATTCAACTATCACCAGGCCAAAATGATATGCATTTTTAAGAGAAAACTGTGGTTCTTTGATATAATTTTTATGTCAAAAAAGAAATGTTTGATATAATTACCACGTAGATTATATTAGAATCCAAGTTTAAATGTTCCAAGATTCAACTATCACCAGGCCAAAATCAGGACCATCAGTGATTAAATTTATGGAAGGAAAGTTTTATCATGCAAAGAAAATAGTACTACTATTATTATTTAAAGTATGGATGTTTGTTTTAGATTTATATTCCTGAATAGGTCAATAGTTTAGTATTCTTTTAATTACTTTCCTAAGTTCTTATGATTTATATTCTAGATCAGTTATGATTTGTCTTTTTACTTAGTTACGAATTGTATTAAATTAGTCCGGCATTGTAATCATTGTTCTTTGAGGATTAGTTAGGAACACTATAAATATGTGAGCCTTGTGGGTTGTAAAGTAAACACTCAATTCTTAATGAATTCTATATTACTCTTTAATGAAATCTAAAAATTCTATTTTTGTGGTGGATTCAAGTGAAACCTAGTGACCTCTTTGTTATTTGTCTAGTTTGGTTGTTGTCAAAGCACCCATGTAAGCTTGAATGAAATCAAGCAATCCTATTCCCATTTCCAGTTTGTATCAGTTGGTACCAGAGTCTAGTGTATCTTGGCCCATTAGTTTTGCACTTCTACCACCAAACAAACACCTACCACCTTTTTTGAGGAAAAAAAAAGAAAAGGGAGAGAGGAGAAGCAAGAAGTTGACAACAACATGACTAACCATATGTCAGACAATTGGCTCTTGAGTTGGCCAAGGCTGGCTTGATAAAGGTTCTGAGGGAGGACGAAGGGAGGTAAGGGTAGAAAGTAGAGAAGAAGAATAATAATAAAAGAAGATGGGAGAGAATTCAGAAGGTAAGAGTGCAGACAGTGTAGGAATAATTCTTAGCTTTTTCATAACTTTTTCTGGTACATGGTACAAGACCAGTCGCTAGCTGGCATATTGCACCTTTTTGTAGGTTTGCTGGATGTAGACAAAGGCTTTGCCATGTTACTAACATTACAAAAGAGGAAATTACGGGAATTCAAACATCTAATTGCTCCTAATTCAAATAACAACTAATTTTCACTGACAGCTAGTCCTATTCTTCCTGCTTAATTGTGACAACCATACTAGTTTCTGCTGATAACACCAACCACCACCACTAACAGGCTCAGTTGCCCATCTGGACTTGCCATAACCAAAAGATGTCGTAGCGTGTGCAATTGCAGTGACGAATTCAAATGCAGATAGTTCTCAGATAAAAAGGAATCATATACTTGAGAAATGTAGTATTGGGGCCTTAGTCCTAGCTTTGGCTTCATAGTTTTCTGTTGAAGATAATACTTGCTTCTGATCACTCTAAACCGTCAAGAGAAAAGTTCGGCAGGAAAGTGCGTCAGCTTAATATGCTCTAGAGATTAAAATGTTCACGTTAATTAGATTACATGCAAAAACTCATTTTTGGTGTCTGGTTTTTTTTTAAGCAATTTTTTGGCATCTGGTTGGGCTAAGTTGTACGGGCATTTCAAAGGTTCTTCTTTGTCTACTTAGGCTGAAGATTAGCTGGTTATCTTTGAGTAAATGATGTCAGCTTTTTTTCCTTTTTTTAAAACTTTTTTTGGGAGGATTCTAGTCCTTGTATGCTGTATTAGTCTTTCTCAATCAAATAATGCTTCTCTTTTCCATTTAAAAATGATAATAATAACGTACATTTAGAGTAATATAAAGTTTTAAGATGTTCATCATTCATTCCAAGGTAAGTTTCAAGAATGAAAAGGAGCAGGACAAACAAAATAAGAGGGAAAAACTAAAGATATACACATTCCATAATTTTCAAGGAACATCTATATGGTATATATGATTTTTACCAGTTCATGCGTACTTATATTTGACCATGCTATGTATTTTAACTGATATAATGTTTATCTAACTTTTGCATTTTTTATGTCATCTGAATATTTTATGACAGAAAGAATGACGAACTCCGTAAAGATGCTGTTGATGCACTTTGTTGTTTGGCTATAGCTCTTGGGGAGGATTTCACTATTTTCATTCCATCAATTCATAAACTTCTACTGAAGCATCGCTTGCGGGTCTCCTCTATTTTATTCTCTTTTTGCGCATACTATAAATTCACAATTTTATTTTATAGACCTCTTACATATTAAGAAACAATTATTTTCTCTTCTTCCTGTAATTCCGAGTAAATTAGTTTTCCATGTTCAGCATAAAGATTTTGAGGATATTGAGGGGCGCTTGCGAAGACGTGAGCCATTAATTGTGGCAAGCACAGCAGCAGCACAGAGACTAAGTCGACGCCTTCCAGTTGAGGTGATCAGTGACCCTTTAACTGATATGGAAAGTGACCCTTATGAAGATGGAACCGATCTTCAGAGACAAGGTCGGGGTCATCAGGTATCCTATCTTTATCTTTCTCTCTGATATTTATTTAGCATCTGTCTTCTTATTTATATGTATATTCTTTCTTGAGCAATTGCCAGTGTTGTTCCTAAACTTGGTTCTTGATATGCGTGGCAATCCATGATGGTGAAGCATGAATAACATACATTCCAAGGCTTGTGAATGAATGGATGTAAACTTCCACAAATAGTGTTAAACCCTGTCGAACATATGTTTTATGATATTATGTAGTACTGTCTAAAACTTATCCTGCTTGGTGATTTTTGTTTAATTTACATGACCGAAGTATTGATGTTGGTCACAGTGTTGGGTAAAACTTTTGTTACCAATTTTATTGTGGTGATTAAAATGCAACTTTAGACACCGCAGCATGTGTGCAGGAGAAATAAAAGTATATTTGAAGAAGGTAAATAGTAAAAAACACATAATTAATTAATTGCAAGATATTCACATGCTTGATAAAAGGTAGTGGATGGCTTTTATTATGAAAATACCATACTCTGGTCAAGTGCATGCCTGTACTTAAATTAATTCAATTCATATTGTGAATGTAGCTTGTTTTGTGGGAGAGGCGTCCAACTGTAGATTTTACTGATCCCCTTCATGCCAAAAACAGTAAGTGTGCTTTTGGAAAGAGAGGGATTTTGGAGGGTTTTGAGGTGCTGAAAACCTCTTCATCAGTAAAAGTTTTCAATTTATTTTTTTAATGAGAAAAGCAAACTATCATGTAAAGAGAGAAAGACAACACATTAGAAGAGAGTATATTTTTTAAATGAACTATACATGACCTTTGGATGCCTTCTTTTTTTTTATGTTTATGGTTACACTCTCAAAAATGAGGGAGAGATGGTGGCTTTATAGATTTTGTTTCTACAGTCAGTCCTGATTTGGTGCCTTGTCAATGCTTTTCTTTCCCTACTAGCAATAGAATACAATAGGTGCACAAACTTCTCTCTCTATCTTGAAATGAAAAATGATCTATTAAAGGAAACATGAAAGGTAAATGGGGTCATATACAAGGGTTCACTAAACCAGGGAGAACAAAACAATTACAGGAACCAAAGGCTAAGTGGAGAACATAAAATCCAAGATAAAACCTGAAAAATTGCTCCAGGAACTTACAGCGAAGTACTGTCTTCTAATGCCTTGGAAGAGGCTTGATTTAGAACTTCATGTGCAGTCTCTAAGTTTGCAGGAGTGTCTAACCTCCTTGTGTTGCATTGGGCTTTTCTATGCTATATGCTAGTTTGATGATTAAGAATATTTACTCGTGTTGTTAACATGTATTATTCCTGTGCAATCATACTGGTTATGTTATTTTTCATATCTCTAAATCTGAATTACTAGACTTAATCATGTGATATTGGTTGGGGTGGGGTAGCATACGGATTCATGTATTGCATGAAATAATACAGGTCAATGATGGTCGGTTACGTACTGCTGGGGAGGCTTCTCAGCGTAGTACGAGGGAAGACTGGGCAGAATGGATGAGGCATTTTAGCATTGAACTTCTAAAGGAATCACCTTCCCCAGCATTACGAACTTGTGCTAGACTCGCACAGTTGCAGGCATGTCTAACTATCTTCATGTTTGCATTTCCTTTGCTTGAGGTTGGATTTTAATTTTCTTCTTTTTGCAGCCTTTTGTTGGCCGAGAGTTGTTTGCTGCTGGTTTTGTTAGCTGTTGGGCGCAACTGAATGAGGCCAGTCAAAAGCAGCTGGTTCGGAGTTTGGAGATGGCATTTTCTTCCCCAAATATTCCTCCTGAAATTTTGGCCACACTTCTTAACTTGGTATTTTTCTTTTAACGGCTCTTTCTTAGGTGTAAGATATTCTCATCTTATGCTGGAACCATAGTTATTATTGAATGGGATTTTGTTTACTATTGTGTTGAGTTTGACTAAAACTCCAGTTCCATCGAATATTAATGAGAATGCAAATAAAAACAAGATACAAATTTGAATAGGAAATAGCAATCTAATCCTAAGTCTTTTCATATTCAATCAGAGTTGGGTTTTTTTTTTGACTCATAGAATTGCCAGGTGTAGATACAAATTCATAATTGTAAAATTGAAAGCAGGAGTGAAATTGATTCAATTATTTATCAAATTTGTAAATTATAACTGACATTTATGTATATATCAATTAACTAATATATAGAAATTGAATGAAAGTAGAATAGTTTTTTTAACCAAATGCGATTTTAGTGTTTATGCTATGAAGCATTGGCAAAGAACCATCTAAGCCTAAATAGTCTGATTTTAGGACTTCTTAAAAGATATGATCTTATTCTTCTACTTAGTGAGTAGTACTTTTTCGGGATTTGAGTTTATTTAATTGTATATGAACTTTTGAAAACTTGGACTAATTTTTCTATTTATTGTTTTCCTGCTTAGTAAAGTTAGAACTTAGGATGTTGATGTTAAGGAAGTTTACTGATCACATTGTAGAATGCGAAAACACTTCTTATTCTTCTACTTTGGAGGAATGACTTTCTCTTTTTTCAGTTTTGCACCATCTCAGTTGTATTGGTTATAGTTCTTCAGGGGAGGGAAAAGGAGAGAGTTGTATTTTTCAATATGGTTTTGTCTACTGTCGTTGCTTCAAATCTGAAGAAACACTGATTCTGTCTTTTTGACATGATATCCTGGAATGTCTTTTTCAAAACCAGAATATTTCGTTGTTTTTGAGTAAAGATGTCATGTCTTTGATATAGTTACAGAAATGTAAATAATCTTGTACATGGGTGGTATTCTCTTGGTACCTATACTTAATGATACTTTATTCTTTGTATTTCGAAAAAAAAAGAAAGATATCTAGGTCTTTGGCTCTTTTTCTGGTGATATATTCACATGTTAGAGACTCAACAATTAGCTATGCGCATCCTGATCTTTTCAGGCTGAGTTCATGGAACACGATGAGAAGCCCCTTCCGATAGATATTCGTCTTCTTGGAGCTCTTGCAGAGAAGGTGTGCTTTCATTATTGCTGCAGCTTTAAGAGCAATGTGCTTCTACTATGTTAATTGTATATTTAAATGTTAATTATATATTTATTTCAAAAAAATGTTAATTGTATATTTAAGAATGCTGTGACTTATTCAACTAATTTCAGCAATAAAACTTTCAGTGCCGTGCTTTTGCCAAGGCTTTGCATTACAAAGAGATGGAATTTGAAGGTGCCCGTTCCAAAAAGATGGATGCTAATCCTGTTGCTGTAGTTGAAGCTCTCATACACATAAATAATCAGTTACACCAACATGAGGTTTTACTTCAAGAAAGATATTTTTTTTCGCAATATTTCACCTTCTTTTTCATTATTGTTAGAGAACTTATTTCCTCAATTTCTTGACAAATTTTGGTTTATTAGGCTGCAGTTGGAATATTGACCTATGCTCAACAGCACCTTGATGTTAAATTAAAAGAGTCATGGTAATGTGAAATACTTCTTTTTGTATTTACTTTTTATATTTGCATTTTTTTATAGTTAATATGGTCATGCAACATATACTCATAAATTAAAGTAAAAGGGAGCAAGAGAGAGAACATAGAGAACTTTATGGGCAACGGTGCCTACATCTTTGGTGGTACCTGCCACTTATTCACCTTGAAGAGCTGAGTATTTTTTTTTTATTTAAACAAAGGAAGATATATTATTAGAAAAAAAGATAAATGCTGTAAAAATGTGGACGACATTCCATAAAAGCAGGAAAACACAACAAACAAGGAGGATTCTTCAATGTAAGAGAGCAACCCAATTTCTTTGTGAAGTGGACTAAGAAAGCTCTATGTTAAGAATTATTTAGTATATATTTTATTGAATGAATTTGTTAAATGTTTGAATTTGTCATTCCCTGTTCTTATACCAAAAAACAGTGGTGCCAATAACATAAGGGACTTCAGATCAATCAATTTGGTTGGATATATTTATAAATTAATTGCAGAAGTACTTGCTAGAAGAATGACTCTGGTGTTGGGTAAAGTAATAGGGGAATGTCAGCATGTATTTGTTAGCGGAAGACAAATTCTTGATGCAGCTTTAGTTAGCTAATGAAGAGGTTGATGAATTCATCTTCAGAAAGAGGGATGGTGTTCTTTGTAAGTTTGATATGTAAAAAACATATGATCATATGAGTTGGGATTTTGTTGACTACATGCTTTAGATCAACAAAGCTTGTCTTGTTGGAGTAGGCTGGTTGCACAGCTGGTTTCGGGTGGCAAAAGCAGGTCATGTAGCTGATGGCGAAGGAAATTGCAGTTGGAGTCTTTTCAGTGAGCAGTTGGGTGCTGCTGGTCGTCGGAGGAGTAGCAGCAGCTCTGCGGCTTTGTTTTTGTTGCTGCTGCCGATGGAGGCAAGCTTGGCTACTGAAGACTGGCAGCTGTGGTGGCTTGGATTATGGTGGCCAGCTATGATGGCTGATTTCCCCTGTTTAAGGTCTTTCTTATTTTGGCAATGAAGGGCACATAAGGCTTGTAAAAGAGTTTAAGGTTTTTGAACTTTAGGTTCTGACAATGTGTTAAAGAATTGTTGAGAATGTATTTTGTTGAATATAACATCCTTATATATATAGGTTTTGTAGAATAGAAAAGGAAGTAAACAATTAATTACAAGGGTGTCTTTTACCATAATGCCCTTTAATGTAATTTGCATAGATAATATGCTCTCTCTAACCCTCCATAAAGATTCATGAGCTTTAGTCCAAAAAGCACCAATTTATTGCAATGCTATTCTGGTGTCTGAGAACAATAATTGAGAATTCTGACATTTTTTTCCAACGACGAAGGTAATATGTTGGTGAACAAATGAAGAACTGAATGGTACAAATAGAATTTTCTTTCAGTGGGGGATTAAAGAGAAATTCTAGGTGTAAAAGAGTACTTGCAACAGAAAAAAACAAACAAGGGAAAAGAAGATCCAAGATGCAACTGTTCCATGCTCTTCCCTTTAGCTAGGAGCTTTGTGTGGAAACTCTAATGTTACTGCTTAAATTCATAAACAGGCTTTTGTGGCTTCTAATTTGGATTTTCTCTATTGTACTTTAATGTCATTTTCGTAAACATTTTTCAATGAATATTTGAAAGACAGCAGGACATTTCTCTGCTTTATAGCGGACAGAAAAAATATGGAAGCATAATTTTTCTCTTCAAGCTAATGAATATTGACGTACTAACATTTCCTTTTCTTTCAGGTATGAGAAGTTGCAACGATGGGATGATGCTCTAAAGGCATATACCGGAAAAGCCTCTCAAGCATCAAGCCCACATGTTGTTCTAGAAGCAACTTTAGGTGCGTGACAACTTATACATAGTCACCATTGCTATTATGATGGCTCTGTTCAGTCTTTCAATGATTTGTTTTCCAACAGTTAGGCGTAGATGCATGTAGTTTTTAGGCAGAGAGAGGCTGGGACATGTATACAAATGCACATTTGGGTGCATAAAAGATTCTAAACGATGTTCAAAAGGTAAAATTTGGTGTGCCAATTAAGCCTATGCTACAGCTATATATGATCTGAGCGTCATATAGGGGAGACATGTTTTTGAGTAAGGGGAAAACTTTGGCTCAAATGAACTGCCTTAATGTTTCTTGTTTTGAATCTTTAACTTACTGCCGTACCTGTGTCCTTGGCGAGAACTGGATGTGGTTGTGGGATCTGTCGTCAATATTTGATGTGCAAGTCAGATACTTCGATCCAGAACTAAGAATTTATGGTATATTGTAATATGAAGACAATGATGAAGATACCATGACAAGGAAACATTGAGTGGAAATTGGTCAGGCGAACATGTAAATCTTGAATGTTTTTGTGAATATTCAATCATTCTATATCATTTGGAGTATCATATTTCTAGTTACAAATATGAATCTCGCTCCCTCTCTATATGTACATGCACATACTTGTGTTAAAGACTGTATTTTGTTGTGTAAATAGAAAATAGAAACTAAAAAAGTTGTTTCTTGAGTGTCTAAATTTTCAATATTTTTGTATAATAAAGGACTCAATC